ATTGTTAGTTATGTTTGTGTTGAGTATTTTATAGGTATTAGAAAGTACGTTTACCACTTTTTGTTTTATTGCGGTTTGGAAGGTAAAATGTGATTTAGGAAAAATATCAAGAATAGAGTTTTTAGTGTCATTTAGAATATCTTATAGATAAAGTTACCATGTTCATCAATCAGACTGATTGTTGTTCCATATATATATATAATAATGTCCTCAATGTTACCTACCTGCATGGATACATCTACCCCTTTCGTGTTTCTGTTTGCGTTCTGGAATTTTGCTTTGAAATACAAGATATATCTAATACTCAGGAACGGCTTTTCATCGTAGATATCCCAATATGTTTTGGGGTGTTCATGGTATTAGTAATGTCTATAGGAGATCATTATCACTGATAGTGAACATCAGATTTTCCATTACAAGTATTATAAAAAAAGATCAATATAGTTTTTCAAATAATGGTTGATTACTAATAAAATTAATATATTGCTGTTTTGTTTATTTTTGTTACTATTATTATACATTTCTTGTGGTGTTTACAATTGGAGGGGTTTTGTCAGTAGTTGCCACGCTTGGCAGGCGGGTTGGCAACTGCAGTTAGGCCTTTGAGGATGTTTCAAGAGGGACGCTGCTGCCCATCCCTCGACTATAAGTTCCCTTAGTCGCCTCTTATATATTTTAATTTCTGTGTCGCCGCAAACCATAGAGTTTGTAACTATCCTGTCATACAATATCCTGTTATATAATACAGTTGATTTCTCAATATATGTCAGAGGGAAATGTTGTACAAAATTCTTTTGCTTGGGTACCTCTGTCCCATTCGTATTTCTGCTGTAAAGCAGTTGTATTTGCATAGCTGTGTTTTGGTTTGAAGAGTTGGGTATGGCAGTGAATTTACAGGGTACAGAGGAATAACACCTGAGTCGTCAGGAATAGCAACGCATAGGAAGTATCATGGGCGAAACAATATACTCTGTTATGTCTATGGTACTGCTCATATCTATAGGCGGCGGTTACCACTTTCCGTCAGGTGGACCGTTTACCATTGTTTGTCATTCTAAGTTGCATTAAAAAAAATGAATAGATATATTTTTTTTTCTTTTACATATTATTTAGTTCTAGTAATTCATACTCGACGAAAATTAGTCTGATTTCAGAAGTTACAATTTGTTTTGTTAAGTTTGAGAGACTGTAGTCATTAAGAATTGTAATGTGGCTGTCTCTTTCATAATTTCGTGATGTTTTACTTGTGAAATTTTGTTTGTATTTTATTGTAAATAATAAAAAGTAATATTTAATGGACTACAATTTTGCTTCAAACTTTTTGTTTTCTATTGCTGTTATTAGCTAACATAGCTTCTTATTTCTAGCTTCTTTAATTTCGAAATTATTCTTAATCGTTTCGAAATTGATGGAGTTCCTCTCACAGAGTTCTTTATTATATCTGATTCTTTTAAAAATAATCAGAATAAAAAATACTCGTGTAACAGTTTAACTTTATTAATTTGTTTATACAAGACTTTACATCTTAAGTACTATACAATCACAATAATTGCTTGCTGGTCGAGTTAGGTACAGTTAGGAGCTTATTTTTCCTAAGATACGGTTCTGAATCCTTCTAAATGGTCCTACGGGAGATCGGATATTCTTTCATTACCAACAAACAATTTGGAACGTAACCCATAAGAATATAATTATTAATAATATTACATTTCTTATAAAGAATTGTATGTAATGTAAATATTTTTGGTATAAACATGTTTATTTATTATTATTTTGTGATTTCTTTTATAAGGTAAAAATACAAACTTTTGATTGCTATTCACACGATTTCTCGAATGTCTTTACATTTGTGTTTTTAATGCTATTTTCTATTTTTTTCTGAATGTATAAATTTATTGTGAGAATAAATGACAATTCTGTCTGGTTATCCTGTAAATATACGATAAAACAAATTGCTTACTCAAACTGCACAGCTAAATATACACAAACAACAGTTTATTATATTTATAACTAATTATTACATGATATATAACATAATATACAATTGCAATAGTAACAAAGTAAAAAGAAATATAAATAATGAACAATATATTAAAGTATAATATGGCACTATGACAATAGCCAAGGTACTAGTTAAGTAGCAACTAACGATACATAATGGAATCTATATGCAAATGTAACTTTTTTCTTTAACGTTTTGGATTTAAAGTTTACAATCATTGACTGGTAAGTATACTCTCATGCATCCCTGAACAAGTTAGTGACAGTATAGTTTATGAAGAAACAGTGCAGTGTGATAATAAATCAACTATTCATTTTATCTTCACAAAAGTTAATAAAAAGTAACAGTTTAAGGTCCAACGAAATTTGTTAGACTTACTTAGTGATAGATTGGTGTCTAGTAACTTGCTTGCTCACTAAAAGCTTTTTGATACATTTAGAGAATCACCTAATGACCCTAATAAAGAAACATTTCACGAGAAAGCCATACTACCCTTGTTTTCATTTTACATTCCGTTCTAATTCAAATCCCTCAACTAATAATTATGCTGCTGATTATCAGCAACTCTTATTGGTCTTAGGATTTCTTAGTCTGATACCATTTCAAATTTTAAATAATTCATTCGATATATTTTTATTTGAGTTCACTCTTGTGGTATTATCTCAAATTTATAAATTAACTAAACTAATATATCATTGTAAAGTTTATTTGTTTAGTAAATTTAAAATATCTACATTGCATTATGAATCTCAACCGTTAAACTCTTTAAATTTTGAGAACAGGATATTTTCCACTCTTGTTTGGCAATTATGGGTCTTGGAGATATGCTTTGAGCCTTGAATGCCTTTAGAACTATACAATAAATTACGATTTGAATATGGAATGATAAAGACATGGAATGAGCGACGACTACAAGCATCCGAAACCCCAATGTAAGATGACAAGGTGACATAATAAGGACTGTATATTATACAAATAAATTTTAAGTAGCAATAGTGATAGAAAAATTTTAACAATCGCTTAACGTATATATCTGTATTTTAAATGGCTGAATAATGGAAGAATTAGGACTGGAAGATGATGGAGTAAAAAAACATACTACGCCAATGACCGAAATATTAAGACAAACGTACGATAATATCAGTTGCCCAATACAACGTAATTTAATAATTATTAAGTACAAAAATCCGAATATTATGCAGTCAAAATATACAAAAATGTAGATTGCACATCTGTAAGATACGACGCACAGATGGAACTCGAGTTACATAAGTTGCTAACTGTGGAAATCGAGCTCATACAAGTACTTCATTGTAACATCACCAAGATATGCATACAAATTCACCAGTATATTAAATGTAAAAAAATCTTAAAGATTATTGGCTTTTACCTAAAACATGAAACTACAGGTATTATCAGTAATTGAATATAACGTCTATTTCAATGTAGGTGTTGAACATTATTACCACGATTAGGAACTTAATTTAAAAGTAATTATATTAATAATTAATTGTAAATACTTAATGAGCCAACTGTCTTATATAAAATATTCGTATTGCTAAATTAAGTTATTTCCTTTTAAACTATCGTTCTCGTGACGCAGGCGACAATTCAACTGTCGATTAGGGGGGGGGGAGGGAATGGGATCTAAAAGGCAATTGCTAACAATCTATATATAGCTAACAATATATCTTATTATATACGTGGTTTGTGGATACCATAGTGGTTAATTCTTGGAGAATTAATTTATTAGCTTCCATTATTCCACTGGTACCCTGCTAGCCAATACTGGTAGCGTTAGCGGACCGACATTTCCATTATCATGCCATTAAAAACTGTCGGTTAAACAAACAAACACAATATTAGTATTTGTGTTTACTTCTACTACAATTTCACTATCACATAATTATCTATCACTGCTACTTTAGAATTAATTTTGTGAAAAAATGGTATAACTAGAACACTTTGTAATAAAGATACGCTTTAAATTTGATTGCACTTTAAATCGCGTTCTGTTTCAGTAATTCTAAAAAAAAATGTCCCTACACAAAAGTACAATTTAAAAGAACTATTTTACATGTCTACATCTAGTATACTTATTTCTCATAGAATACGTCGAATTTAAATTTACCACCATAAACATCGTATCCATTTTAAATTTTGCATGGAAATTTTTCACATAATTTTTTGCCATCAATGTTCAATTAATAAGTAACCGCTTAATAAGTATATTATAGTATGATTAATGTTTTAGTTCGCTAGCAAAGCACGTAAATGATTGATCAGATACATTGAAATTATTTAAATTGTTTTTAAAAAATACGATGTTACCACGCTTTGGTAAGCTAACGTTATGAAGGCTTTTAAGACTTACTTGGTATCGTAATCTTACATTATCATTTAACCTGTTACTTGTTGATTTGACAACATAATTTTTAATTCACTTCTAAATGTAATTTACATATTTACACAATTTACATTGGTATTTTATTACTATGTGATCTACATACATTTATTTTGAATATTTTATACATATTCTACAAATATATGTCGTCCATGTTTTACCGTTACAAGTATAATGCCAGTGTTGAAACATGGCTCAGAAGTATAAGTAGATATAACTAACATTTTTAGAAGACAAATTTTCAAAACATGTACTTAATGTTTCGGTTTGCATTACAGGTTCATAATTTTGCAATTAAAGATTATTCATTTGATATAGAATGAATTGACATTTTTTAAATGATATTTGTTTCAATTTTGTACATATTTGACTATATGTCATAAAATAGTTATAGTTTGAGCTGCTACTATAGAGTTTATTTTATTATTTATAATTTCTTGATATCTTGATAAATATTGATGTATTATACGTTCTACACTACTAAATTATTATTCATAATATCAGAAATGAACACTTATAAAGTTCAAAGAATAATTTGTGAATAACGATTATCGAAACTACAAAGTAAATATACTTCTTTAAGGGCTACGTCATAGCAATATACAGCAATAAATTATAAAATATTTTAATGTTTATGATTACAAGCAGTAATACATTTGGCAAAATAGGAGTACTTAAAATATTATCATTACTGGTAACATAAAATGTGTTTTAAATTTTCGTCACCGATGTTTCCCACTCAACCAGTCCTCTTTTATCAAATCGGCTCCTTTTTCTCCGATCATGATAACAGCTGCATTAGTATTTCCACTAACTATGGTAGGCATAATACTAGCATCGATTACTCTTAATCCTTCTACACCATATACCCTTAACCTAGGATCAACAACAGCCTCTTTATCCCATTCAGGTCCCATCTTTGCTGTTCCACATTGATGATATATCGTCATTGATATAGTTCTCACTTGACACTCTATATACTCATCAGACATGAACTTAAATTGCTTGCAGTTCGGCAGTGGTTTCATATATAACCTAGAACCGAATTGCTTAAATGGAGAAGCATTGGCTACTTTTAATGCTATTTTTATTCCTTCTACTAATCTAGCTACATCTAAAGCATTTTCATGGTAACGTGGATTCATAATCGGATAATGAAATGGGTTTGAACTTTTCAATCTGACGTAACCTCGAGTATTTGGACGCAGTAAAAGCGGCATTATAGTCCAGGCATCTTTATTTGCGATGGGCTTGTAAACAGTATCGTAAACTTCATCAGTAAGGCCAAGAATCTTTCTAACGATTTGTCCGTTGTCAGAAGAAAATGACGCAGGTGCCATATGAAATTGAACATCAGGCCACAAACCAGTGCTATTTGCGTATTTAGTATTTACAAAAGCTACTCCCTCTAAACCTCCAAGAACAGTCATAGGTCCTCGTTCATTTATCACATAATTCATGGTTACGGGGAATGCTTGGAAGCGATTTTGAACAATGGCCACAGGTTTATCGACTAGAAACGTTAACCCACCAACACCAACGTGGTCTTGCAGATTTTCACCAACAGGTAAATCTTTTAGCACTCTTATTCCGACATTTCTCAAATGGTCTTTAGGCCCTATTCCTGACAACATTAATAATTGCGGACTATTAATAGCTCCAGCCGACAAAATTACTTCTTTCTTCGCATAAACGACTCTCTTCATTCCTCTTTTTATATATTCCACTCCGTAGGCCTTCATTGTTACAGGGTTTATTAAGATTCTTGTCACTTGTGTATTTAGCGATACATCGAGGTTTCTTCTCGTACGAATAGGTCTTAGAAAAGCTTTTGCTGTGCTACATCTTGAACCGCGTCTTATAGTACCCTGGGCTATCATAAATCCTGTTTGAACAGCTCCGTTTATATCTCTATTTTCATAACCAATTTCTACACCCGCTTCAACGAAAGCAGCCACCAGAGGAGTTCTCCAAGGTGCCTCTTGGACAGTTAAGTATCCTCCTCTACCGTGGTATTTACTTTTAGCTAAGTATGGATTTCTGTTGTCTTCGGATTTAATGAAATATTTTAAAACATCTCGGTAACTCCATCCTGGGTTTCCAAAGGACTCCCACTGATCGAAATCATATTTGTTTCCACGAACATAAATCATGTAATTCAAGACACTGGACCCGCCAAGGACCTGAAATGCAGAAATTTTTCTATTTATTTTTTATGCATTAATAATTTATAACATTATGTAATGTCAATACTTCTTAGTTTAAAAATTATATTATAGTATAGAATTGAAAAATGATGGAATAGTAAAACTGTTTTAAAGATATAATTTTATATTTTCTTGTTGGATGAAAATATATTTTATTAATATTATATATTGGCACACAAATTTTAGCATCGACTAAAATTAATTCGTGATTGTAAATGTAGCAGGTACATAGAATCATTAAACCAGACTTATTGTAGCAATTATTTCATTATATTTAAAAACTTATACATCGGCTAGTAATTACATTAATTTTTACCTTGCCACGTGGCCAACTGCATCTGCGCTTTTTGAACCCCAAGCAAGCATACGATGTAGGCTCCGTCTTGTATTGCCAGTCTAACTTCGTTAGCTGGAGATAACCAGCTAATGAAGGGACGTCGGTGATTTCGTTCTCATCTGGACCTGGAATATCCACAAACAAACAGTTTATATAAATAAAATTTAAATAGTTTAGGATAAGCAAGCTGAAGTGCCAATGGGCTGGTCACATAGCTCAGTGAACCGATAACCGATAGAGAAGAAAGGTTCTTGATTTGCGACCCAGTACAGGTAAAGGCGGTGTAGGACGACCCCTCACTAAATGGAGTGACGATCTGCAATGCATTGCAGGGAGTCAGTGGATACAGGTGGCTCAGAACCGTTCTTTATGGCAGTCTATGGGGGAGGCTTATATCTAGCAGTGGACGAATAATGGCTGAAATGATGATGATGGAATAGTTTATAAGTGTCTATACAATCAGAACAATCGCTAGGTATTCAAGCCAAGTTAGAAAGACAGGCAACCAATTTCAACAAATTTGTTATCGAAATTGACTCGGCTGGAAACCGAATCCGGGATTTCATTACACAAAGCAAAGTGCTGTGCCACGCAGTTTGTCAAAACAGTTCGAGATTAGTTGTTCTTGGACTTTTACAATGACCTTTTTCTTTCTGCAGTCAAATTTCGGACAATTTTTTTTTTATACAACTTAGAATGGCAAACAAGCTCACGGCCCACCTGATGGAAAGTGATAACCGTCCCCTATAGACATGAGCAGTACCATGGACATAACAGAGTATACTGTTTCGCCCATGCGTTGCCATTCCTGAGGACTCAAGTGTTATTCCTCTGTACCCAGTAAGTTCACGCCATATCCCACTCTTCAAACCGAAACACAGCCATACAAACACAACTGCTTCACGGTTGAAACACGAATGGGACAGAGGTACCCAAGCAATCGACTTTTGTACAAAGTCTCCCTCTGGTCTAAAATTTATATACTCGTAATTAAAAAATACACAATCAATTCTTTTGATGATACATATTGAAAATTATCGAGAATTTAATTTAATCTATTAATTTACACGATATTTTATAGTAGTTTACTTTGGATCTTAAATATAAGTAACATTTCATTTTAAAGGTATTGAAGACTGTAAATATTTGTTAATAAAAAGTTGATCTAAATATATGTGTATATAATAGACAACATTTAAAAGAAAATTCGATTTAACCAATTTAGTTGTTTCGTGATTAAACAGAATGAAGAGTAATAAGGTTGTTCAAATATTATGATGAGATAATTATAAACATTATAGGATAATATATTTTTTTTTTAAATTACTTACCACTTTCCAATAACAGAACGTTCCAATTCATCACTTCAGTTAGCCGGTTGGCTACAACAGCGCCAGCTGAACCTCCGCCAACAACTATAAAATCATATTCTCTTTTGGGCTCTTTGTCTAAAACCTTCGCTTCTGGGTCATAAGAATTGTAGTTGTGGTAAGTAAGTGCTCCTAGAAGTAGCGGTATTAACCACAGCCCAGTCACACTGATTGTTTTCAGCGCTGTAGAAGCTAGAAGCACATGGACTCCCATTTTTAAATTTCGAATCTATCATAGATAACTTTTAAGGTACGATGTGTCGTCAGTATCACAGTGTAAAATAAGCTTTGGTTTTTTTTATATTATAATAAAGACTAGGATATTTATGATTATCCGTTTATATTTTTGTATTTGTCTGGGGGTTTGCTTCTTCGTTTTGGTTTATTTGTGTTTGGTGGTATTTGCCGCAGCGGCGACATGTTAAGCAACATGGCACTCGCTAGTCAAGAAGTGGTTTCGCGTTTCTCGAATCTGGAATTAAGAAAAAAGAAATACATAAGTTTCATATTTTTTTTTTTTGATGGGTGAAAATGGTATGGTAACCCCGCCTGCGCTAACGGGATACGCTGGCGGAGCACCAGTGCGGGGTGATAGATGAGAATGAAAACAGGCCAGTTAGCCCATCATGATGAATTCATCAGGAATTAACCATGATAGTTTCCAGGGAGAACCGCGAGGAGGTCGACCTGGTTGGGTATATTGCTAGCAACGGGATTCTCAGTCTCCATTACTAACAATCCCTTTTCCCCCTAAGTTTCATATTGAATTGTTTGTTTGACACATAAATATTATTATGATATCAAAAGTTTCTAGCAATGCTGAGTAGTAATTAGCATGTCGAAGATCAGATACAAATTGATGTTGTATCTACATTCATCGTCATTTTCTTTCAGCTGTTTTAAATTTATACAATAACAATAAAAAAATACTGGTTCATAATTAAAAAAATAATATATAATTATGTTTAAAAATACATTTACATATGTACATTTGTCATTTACTTTAATTCATATAATTTAATAAAAATAATAGAGGGGCTGCGTTTAATGTATTCAGAAACAACAGTTCATGAGGTGTGCTATGGTAAAATAGTTGCACTTCTTATAAGGGTATATTTATGAGCTTATCTTTACTATTATTTTTTCTGTTTCAGGTAAATGCTGTATGAGTAAAATGAAAAATAAGGCAATAATAATTCGTAAACAGTAAGTGCATTTTTAAATAAAAATAATAGGTCTCTATTAGTGGTAATTATTTCTCTTGATATAGGTTATTGATCTCTTCTAGTACACATTATTAACAATCACAATGCAGTTAATCACTACATAGTATAAAACAAAGTCGCTGTCGCTGTCTGTCCGTACCTATGTGTGCTCACATCTTTAAAACTACGCAACGGATTTTGAAGCGGTTTTGTTTAATAGATAGAGTGTTTCAAGAGGAAGGTTATATTATAGAGAAACACTGATAAATTTAGAGGTTTCTAATGTGACGTGATGTAATGTGTACCCGCGTGAAACCGGGATCGCTAGTTAATAAATATTAGATATTAATAATATAGACATTAGATCAATCATAACATTTTTCAATTTATAGTAATTGGCCGCATTAAATGTTTGAGAAAATTGTGAGTTATGTATCGTATTATTAGTATTGACTGTGAATAAGTAATTATATAGTAATATGTGCATATGTATATACCGTCTTTATCATTATGTTATTATCATAAATCTGCTGAATGTGGGTCTTCTTCATAAATTGTCAAAAGAAGAGTCTAGAACCATAGTATTAAAAATTTTATCTTTACAAATGGTAGGTCATCTATATATAATTCTATTGACGATTTTCTCAGAGAAAAATGTAGTGAAAAATATGAACACTACCTGAAGCTATACTTTATATATATTTTTAAATGACATTATGTGAAGAGGACATCTGTATATTACAAAATAAATAAATAAATAGATAAAATTAAATCATATACTGCTTTTTCCTAGAAAAGCGATGGTTCATGACCATTTATTGAATCTTCATAGTAAAGAGATAATTATTAGTTTTCGTATCCAATGTTACTCAAAATCCAACGATAATGTTAATAATATTATCGTTGTATTTTGGGTACACTTTATTTGCTGTGTTTGCAATATCCTATTCAGCCAATCCGGATGTTTTATTTATTATTTTTATTATCGCACACAAAGAGTTTATTATTTTATTACAGTTCTTGGAGATTTATAGGTCAAATTTTCAGGATATAGTTTACAAGTGTACAATTAGATTGAATTAAACCAGCCCTATTGAGCTAAAGTTATATTTTGAAATTTTTAGAGAAAGGATCAATGGTTTTATGTAACACCAGTCGATGTAACAAATACAGAGGGAATGAGACAGGTTCATGTAATTTATTACAAGCTAGAATGAGACCGCTATAACAATTTCCTAGTTGTGCGGAAGATATGATCTAATTTCTAGAGTACGCTGCGGTTCCTAAAGCGATCTCGTGAAAGTAATCAATAATGAGTTAGTATTAAAGTTCGGTAACAGGCTGCTTTTATTCTGATTAAATCGTGTATTATTTGTCCACACGGTATTCTATAAAATACTAGTAATAGTTACTTTAATTGAATCGATTTATTTTTATTTAATTTTTAGTACACACAATGCCCTCTCTCAATGTAAGAAGCGACTAAGGGACTGATTGACATCGGACGGGCAGTAGGTCTCTCTTAAAATATCATTGAAACATAACGACGGTTGCCAACCCGCCTACCAAGCATGGTTACTACTGACAAAACCCCCTAATATGGGAAGCTTATTTTCGGCAATGGACAGTCAATACCTGATGATGATGATGATGATGACACAAGATGTATACGACATAGAATGACTCCCATGCAACTGTAATCATTATTGCTATTGATAATAGGAAAAAACCCTAAGATAGAATTTTTTTTTATACTTTTGTTGCGAATATTAGTCTCTTTCATCCTCATCTTATCAGCCTTTAACTGTCTACTGCTGAACGTAATGCCACGCATGGCAGGCGGATTTGCAATAACAGTTAGGCTTTCGAGATGTTTTAAGTGGGACGTTGCTACCCATCCCCTCGTCCTATATTAGTCGCCTCTTACGACACTCACGGGAAAGGAAGGGGTGGCCTACTCTAAGCCGGGACCATACGGGAGTATAGATTCTCGTTATATAAATATTTGATGAAATATTAATTATTGGCTGACGCTCAAAAACATTTTGTCAATTTAAATTTCTGACTCCAATGATGGAAAACAACAAACCTGGATGGAAAGTGGTAATCGTCGCCTATAGACATGAGCAGTACCATGGGCATAATTGAGTATACAGTTTCGCCCATGATACCCCCATGCGTTGCCATTTCTGAGGACTAAGATGTTATTCCTCTATACCCTGTAAATTCATTGACATATCCCACTCTTCAAACCGAAACACAGCCATGCAAACACAATTGCTCCACGGTAGAAACTCGAATAGGACAGAAGTGCCCAAGCTAACGACATTTGTACAAAGTTTCCCTCTAGTAAAAAGGCTTGTAATCCAATATGCTCGGCAAAATGTGAACATCAACATGTCAATATTTTTACTACAATAGCAACTGTCGACAAATTCCTCTAACTACCCCATTAGGGATTATAGTCATGAGTGTATATATTGTTATTGGAGTATCGTATCGTAGATAGAGAATCGGGCCGTGACTATGTAACTATAGCTATATAAGAGTGAAACTTATAAAGAAAAATAACTAGGTACCTATTGCTTGTATTTATCTAAATCACTCCAAATACTACCATATAATAAATAATGTCAGGATGATTGCTATTACCCGCTCAATATGATTTCTTACTTCTCTGTCATCATGACCAACGTTTATATTGGAGTTATGACAATATAAAAAAATGTAAAATAGACAAATGTAAGTCGTATTTGGATTAAAAGTGTTCCGTACAAGATACTGGGATTCTAACAACGTTGGTCTTATAATGTCTGCTATATTTTTTTTTCTTGATTCTTAATTGCAGAAATCGTAAGCAGTTTTTAATCATTTTTCTATATTTAATATATAAAATTGTGCATTTTTGTTTTGGACCTAAACAAATACTTTAGGGAATCTGCTTAACCACTTCATTTGGAACATATACATAAAATAGGTATTTTCTAAAAAGCAAAAAACAACTACATTTGATAGTTTTAGACGAATATTTTAGTTTTTACTCTTTAAGTATAGAAACAAAAAACGTTGACTTAATCTGTTTGACTTACGTACGGTTACATAGATTGTAAAATATGATGATTGGATTATTTTAATTTACCATGTCATCTCTTGTAGATAATACGGTAATGGAAACTTGATTCGTTTGTTGTATTTTCAATACTGCTTACAAAATACTAATTCTGGAATCGCACGAAGCATGTAAAAGTATTTTACTTTTTCGCAGTCAATAAAGTAGACACAAATTGATTTTCGCTATAAAATCCTAAAAACAAAAGAAAGATCAAGATTTATCTTTAAATTCCACCTGAACACAAATAAACACCATCTCCTATTGTTCATGTGCCTCTTCGAAGCCTATTAAGTTACCGTAACAATACGTTTATTATGATGCACGAATCAGACCATGTCGTATGTTTTGACTATATTTCGTTCAAAACGAAACTGTATTACCTAACGTAATTATTTGCAACCGAAATTCATTTACATCCGAAAAATAATGATTTTTTCTTATCGGATCGGATTTAATCAGATAATACGTCAGTATGGAAAAAAATGAATAACAAACCCTTCTATATCAAAACATTGTTGTGAAGGAGAAATCAACACTCATCGGAAACTTTGTAGGCTTGAAAAAAATAAATACGTATCTGGACCAAGAGAGATAATATTAAGATATACTTATATATTTGTTATGTTATTTGAATTAGCCAACTCCTTTGGTTAGAAGTAGCTACTATCATCTGTAGACAAAATCAGTACTGCGGATTTCACAGATTATATTGTGACACATATGTTACCGTTCTTTCCTAAAAATTAACAACTCTATACTCTGTAATTTTATTGCCATATCTCAACTATTTAACCACAAATACGACTTTGCAAACATAAGTGCTGCTTGACACACGAGTAGTAAAGAGGTAACCATATACGCATAGATGACTTTGTACAAACTCTCCTGATTAGTTAGTTTCAATCGTTAAAACGCCATTGCATAAGTTGCTCAGAATTGGATGGGCATCGTAAAAGGCCAGAATTATCTGAATTTATGCAACTGCTTATGCATGCAATAGGGCTTTTAGAAATTTAGATGTGTTAATCGACTTATGGTGTTGATCGTTCCATTAAGTATTTTGTGTTGTCATTAAAAAACTATGTCGAATTTAAGTTTCTGGTCAATTCGGGTGGTTGACCACATTTTTAAATTTACTATTACACCGTTCAATTA